GCTCCGGCCAGTCTCCTGCCAACGGCCGATGAAGCAGCTTTGCCCCGCCCCAGTGTCTACAGCCACCGTCACTGACTGTCCGGACCGGACACTCCTGAGAATGAAGGTGATAATCACTCCGGACCACGCGGCCCACCAGGCCTGTCCCGGCGCCTGGGCACGTGGTCCCCGCGCAGCGGGGCTGCCCTGTGGCGCCCCTGGCCCTGGGACACGCTCCCTGTGGCCGCGCCCCCGGCCTGTCCCCGGGCACCGCGCCCCGCAGAGCCAGGCCGGTCCTCACCGCGGTGTCTGACACTGCCCTCCCGGAGGCCCCTGGGGCCCCAGCGTTTCACCAGCGGACACTCCGTGCTGCTGGTCCTGGCATCTGGCACTGCCCCTGCCCCCCTCCGCGTCTCCGTCTGCTCTGCTTGTTCCCAGCTGTTCTGGCTCCACCCCCGTCACCAGGGCGGGGCCTCCGGGCCTCTTCTCCGCTCCCAGGGCTCAAGCATCGGAATGTGCATGGCTTCCCATCTCTGACTCCAGTCCCAGTGAGACCCGCATGCTCATCTGCCTCCTAGCATTACTGTGGGGGACACTGCCCCCCACCGGCACCCCCAGTTCAACCCCGCCCTTTCCAACTCTGAACTCGGGCCCTCTCTTTTCTCCCTCACTCCCATCACCAGAGTCCTGACGACCTCACCCCTCTCCCTGCTCCCCAATCCACCCTCCTGTCCATGCCACACCTCAGCTCAGGCCACCTTCACCTCTCTCCCACCTCCTCTGCCTTCCTCCTCCAAACTGACACAGCTGTTCCTTCCTTTTTTGTTGTTAACTCTCAGTGGTTCCCATTGATTTTGAGAGAGAGAATGGGTGAAAAGGAGGGGGAGAGACAGAGAGAAACATCAATTAGTTGAGACACATGGATTGGTTGCTTCCCGCACACTCCCCAGCAGCAACCCAGGTATGTACTCTTGACCAGAACCAAACCCAGGACCCTTCAGTCCTTGGACCAACACTCGATCCACTGAGCCAAACTGGCTGGGGCGCCTGTGTCCTTCTTACGCAGTCTCTTCATGGCCCAGAATCTACAGAAGGAGGAAAGCCAACTCCACAGCGAGACAGACCAGTAAGCCAGGACAAGTGGGATAGGGAAACTAAGACAAATAGTTAAACAAGCAGTTTGCAGCCATCTAGTAAATCCTGTTTCTGTAACCAAGGACTTAAGAGTAAACTAGAAGCCCGGGGCATGGTTTCGTGCACATTGAAAGGAAATTGGAAGGTGGCCAGTGGGGCGGGACTGGGTAAGATGGGCTGGATACACCTTGGAGCCAAACTCCATGGTCCCTCTCTAGCCAGCTGCACCTGGGGTGGCACCGAGGTCAAAGGCCGTCTGCAGAGTGAGCAGGGTCCCTCCAGCAGGTGGAATCCCTCAGCTGACATCCCCCAAGGGGTCCCTGAGTGTGAGAGGGCATTCTGCAAAGTTGCTGGCGCTTGGCAGCCCCTGCTTTGAGCATCTGCCTCTTAGTGGCCAGTGTGCATCATAGCTACTGGCCAGAGCGTCTGCCATGGTGGTCATTGCGTGTCACAGCTACCAGTAGGACGGTGGAACAGGCGGATGGTCACTTAGGCTTTTACACATATAGTTTTTACTTCTCTCCAGCCAGAGAGTAAGTATTAGGTGTACCAGTTAATAATGTGGATTTTTTTTTCCAATACATGAAGTTTCACATATGTTAATATATATGCGATTTAATATGTATGCTATGTTGTTGTACTGACAACAAGCTTCAAAACTTCATATGTCAAATTTACTGAAGGTGTTAACATCATAGATATTTTTATACTTAAAACTGTCGAGCCAAGACCGGTTTCGCTCAGTGGATAGAGCGTTGGCCTGTGGATTGAAAGGTCCCAGGTTCGATTCTGGTCAAGGGCATGTACCTTGGTTGGGCACATCCTCAGTGGGGGGTATGCAAGAGGCAGCTGATCGATGTTTCTCTCTCATCAATGTTTCTAACTCTCTATCCTTCTCTCTTTCTCTCTGTAAAAAAATCAATAAAATAAATATATTTTTTAAAATGTTGAATTTTGTGCCAAAAAAAGCATTTGTGGGAAGTTTTAATTCATTATTTTGAAGAAACGTCCTGCTGAATACTTTGGGAAGCTTATGGTGAACATGCTCCATCTCAAAATACTTGTGAACTTTTAAAAGCTTTAAAAGTGATGATTTCGATGTGAAAGACAAAGACTTCCAGGTCAACTGAAAAAGTTTGAAGACCAACAATTACAAGCATTATTGGATGAAGATGCAGGTCAAACTCAAAAACAACTTGCGGAAAGATTAAATATTGCTCAGCAAACAATTTCTGATCGTTTACAAGCAATGACAAAGATTTTAAAGGAAGGAAAATGGGTGGCACATCAATTTTCGAAAGACAAATGGAAAACCAAAAAGTCATCAGTAAAATGTTGCTTTAATGGCATGAAAGTCTTTTTTGCATTAAATTGTGACTGGGAATGAAAAGTAGATTTATTTTGAGACTCTCAAATGCACAAAATCAATGACCAGAATCTTCCCGATGACATGGTAAAGTAATTTTGCTTCATGATGATGCACCATCACACACTTCAAAACCAGTTAAAGACACGTTAAAAGATCCTGCCTGGGAAGTATTAACCCACCCACCTTGTTCACCAGACCTTGCTCCTTCAGATCACCACTTGTTCTGATCAATGGCACATATATTTTCTGAGCAGCACTTCAAACGTATGAAGAAGTGGAAAATTGGGTCTCTGAATGGTTTGCCTCAAAACAAAAAAAAGTTCTATTGGGACGGTATCCACAAATTACCTGAAAGATGGGGGAAATGTGTAACTAGTGATGGACATCATTTTGAATGAAGCACTTTTGATGTTTCATTTGAAGTTATCATGTTTTCTTTGATTACAAAATCCGCACTATTAACTGGCACACCTACGGCAGTAGCTTAAATCACCCCACTCAGGGAGACAGACAGCAGAAACCCAATTAATGCCATTTGCCAACCATACTCAAGGGCAGATGAACTTAAAGGAAAACACAGCAGCCCAGCTTATGCTCATTTCTCCACCTGCCCCTCTCCTAGGCCCGTGGTCAGCAAACTGCTGCTTGTGAGCCGCGGTTTGCCACACTGTTGACTAATGAGTTTGCCAACCACTGCTAGGGAAAACATTAAAAAAATTTTTTTTTAATAATGTACTAATGTCTTTAACCTGAAGTCAAAACTTCTGGGTAAGGATAATGCCTTAGCAGTGGTTAGCAAACTCATTAGTCAACAGAGCGGCAAACCGCGGGTAGCAAGCCAGTTTGCCGGCCACTGCCCTGGGGCCTAGGCCCTTCCTTTGCCGATCACTGTCCTCGGTTTTACTAAAAGTCCTCTACAAACCACCTGGACAAGAGTGAAGTCTTTCCTGCACCAAGTCAAGAACCCACACAACTCTGGGCGGTCCGGGGCAGACCTGCTCAGGGCCGGGTCCTCCTGAGGGGACAGCCCAGCTCCCCAGCCTGCCGAGCAGGATGCGGGCGCAGTCCCGTCCGGCCCGTGTCCCCATGGCCACGCCACTCTGTCCCGGCTGGTCTGACCTGGCTCCCCTCCCTGGCACAGGCTGTTCCTGCCTCTGCTCACGGAAGACCCTTCTCAGCTCAGGGCTCGGACCTATCGTCCCCTCCCCGATGTCTTCCCCGGCCGGAGCCTGTCTGAGCTGAGCTCCTGTCTCCTCCCGTCACAGCCCGTTTCGTGCTGAACCGTCACCGTCCAGTTTCCAGCTCGGAGTTCCTTGAGGAGGAGGATTTCTTCACTGTTCTTCCGCCCCACCCCCTCACCAGATCAGTGTCTGTCCTGTAGCAGCTTAGGAAATACTAAGAATTCGAACCCGCCTGCAGCTGCCATGCAGTCCTCCCACCCCCATTTGGCACAGAGGAAGGCTCTGCTCCGAGTGCCCAGACTGGCCGCCCGGTCCCGCCAGGGCTCCCTGCCACCCCTGACTGAGCTCCCAGGAGTCTGACTGGACGCCACACTTTGCCCATCCATGGCCAACACCTGAGGCTGCCAACACCTGGCACACTCCCCGGGCACCACACCGCCCATCGTGGCTGGAGCTGACCCTGCCGGGGACACCCGGACAGCCAGGCCAGCCACACACACACTGAGCACCCACCCAGCGTGAACGAGTGCCCAGGAGGCTGGCTACCTTCCTGGCCGTCCCTGGGCCAGCGAGGGAAGGAAGGGGCTGGGTGGGAGCCAGCCTCTTTTTTTTGAGCCAAGCTCTTCTGATGGTACAGCCGCCCCCAGGGCCTGCGCCCGCTCTGCAGGAGCAGAGGCTGAGCCACCGAGGGGCCGTTCCCTGTGTCGGAGCCAGGACCAGGCTGGGATGTTGGGACCAGCGTTGGCATTTGGCAGTCAGGGTGGAGTAGCAGGAGGGGCAGGCATGGGTGAAAAAGCAGTAGCCCCCAGGGCACCCCAGCAACTCATTCCACTGTGGGAGGGGCCTGGCGGGTCAGGGTAAGAGAGGTGCAGCCCATACCCCAGAGGAGGCAGCAGCGAGCACCTGGACCTCCGAAGTCCAAGGGCCGCAGGTCCTTAGCCCAGAAGTCGGCAGGCCCCACCCTAAGCCACACGCTCCTGCAGCAGGAAGCCAGCAGGAAGCCTCACTGTCAGGAGGAGAAAGGCCTGGTCCGGACCTGGTCTACCAGAGCCTCTGGGGCAGGAGACGGTGCCAGGCCACGGCACCCACTGCGCACGGAGCGGCCAGTCCGGCCGCACAGGCTGGACTCTGCAGGACTCGGCGTGCTCCTGTGAGACTGAGACCGGAGTGGTGCCCACCGCGGGATGTGTGACCGGACAGCTGCCCGCGGAGCGGCCTGCTCCTGGGAGAAAGATGGAGACAAAGGGGAGCCCTTTTCCTTCTTAAGGCATCCAGGGCTTCCCCGCCTCACTCACCCCGACCCCGTCTGAAGAACCACATTCCAGCCGCACAGGTACTAGGACATCAGTTTATGGTAACAGAACGGGACAGATGGGATGGCCCCAGAGCCTAGGGATCCATTTCCCAGGAATAGACAGACAGACAGACAGACAGGACTGCACAGACAGACACATAGGACAGGCGAACAAAGACAAGTGCGTGAGAGGTCCAGGCCCAGCCTCGGCAGCCAAGGGCTCCAGATCTGGCTTTGCCCTGGGGACCCGGGCGATGAGCAGGGCTGAAAGGGGGCTCGGTCCCTTTAGGGCCCCTCCCCTCACTCCCTCGGTCCCTTACCAGCAGGTGGCACTTCCGGGGCTGGGAATGGTGTGGGGTTAGGGAGCTGGGGGGGGGGGGTCTGGATGGGGAGGGGTGAGCAGCAGCACTGGGGGGAATCTGGCCAGATATCGGGGTGGGCACCGCTCAGCGGGGCCCGTGTCCAGGGCAGGCCCCCCACCCTGCCCGTCACACCAACATGGTGCAATAAGTAGTTTCAAGTAGTACGTCAATGCCAGGCAGGAGGGCTGGAGGCGGATGGACAGGCAGGGGCTCGGGAGAGGAGCCCTGGCTGCCCTCTCAGTGGGCTCCCGCTGTGTCCAAGTCTGTCTGTGTGCACGGGCGTGGGGCCCGGGCGCCCATGTCCTTGTGGGCACTCCCTGCAGGGGCTCCGCCCCTCAGACCAGTGCCAACGCCTGCTTGGTGGGGCAGAAGCAGGGCAGCATGGCGCCCACCGCGTCCACGATGGCCGCCAGGTGCTCGTCCCGGGCCTGGGGCCCGCAGAGCTGCATGAAGTCTGCGAGGCGCAGCAAGTACTCGAGGTTGTGGCCGGAGAAGCCGTGGCAGGCCAGGATCTGGGTGGCGATGGCCTCCTCCGGGGCGGGGCCCAGGTACCCGGGGTTCTGGGGGGTGGCCACGTAGGCCAAGGCCTTGAGTGGCTGGTCAGGGCTGTCCTGGGGGTAGAAGGTGACCTCCTTGGTGTCGTAGCCGCCGAGCACCGCTTCCCGCACGTTCAGGTACTTCAGGGCCTCGCTCACCTGCTCATCTCGCACCTGGTAGGCCACGCCCCACGTGCAGCCCTAGGAGGAAACGGGCATCGGTCAGTCACCCGGCGTCCCACCCAGGGACCTATAAGGCTCTATAAGGGAGCGGGGAGGAGGGCTGAGGAGCCACCCAGTAGCAACTTCTGCACGCAAGCTCCCCTCCCGTTCTTAACCAGATTAAGGAGGCATCACCCGTAAGCTGCTCAGGAACGTAAGGCTCCGACTCTAACGGGAAGTGACGCACAGAACCAGGCCACCCTTTCCTTCTGCCAGAAGCACATCTGACCTAATCTGCAGCCAGGGACTCTGCTGCCACCCCTCCGTGCCTGGCCCCGGGGTCCCTCTCTTCACTCAGGCACTTACCTCATGGTCTTCGAGAAGGGTCACCACTCGGCCAGGCTAGGAAGGAAGGAAAAAAGATTTCGGAAGAGGCAGGTTAGAAATCTCTGCCATCCGAGCCCGGGGACCTATTAACTCTGCCAGCACAGGCCTTCGAGAGCCGGCTCACCCAGGGGGCAGGGGAGGGAGTGATGAATGCAAGGGAAACAGACACATGGCAATGCCCCAGAATATTCACCAGAAATATTCATCAACAATACAGGACCACAGACTCCAGGCATCACACAGTGACCCACGGGGCACGTAAATTTAAGCCACAACTCTGTCCCCCCACCCCCCGCCCTCGGGCATGGGTTTACCTATTTCCCCCCTCAGCACGGATTCGTCTGCCCACAGGGCCCTGGCATGCCGCGCCCCCCCCTCCGGCCCGACCCCATCCCTAGCCCCGGGCGCGGCGGCATGCACGCTCACCATCTTGTCGCTGCCCCGGTGGAAGGTGTCTCCCTGCCAGAACCGGCGGCTGTAGCCGCGCACGAAGCCCACGCGGCTGTCGCTGTAGGCGAAGTCGGGCCTCCACACCAGGGAGCCGTACCCGAAAATCCACAGCGCCGGGGGGTCGCCACCGCCCCGCGGGGGCTGCGCGGGCGGCGAGGCGGGCGGGGCGGGCGCGGGGCTCTGGGCTGCGGGCGCCTGCTTCATGGTGCCGGGCACAGGGCCGGGCCGGCGTCCTCCGGGCAGGTGTCGGGCGCGGGCGGGCGCGGAGGGACGGGCGGACGCGCACACCTGGCCGGCACCGTTCGGTCACTCCAGCCGCGCAGCCCCGCCACGGCCCCTTTTAAACCCTCCGGTGGGCGGGCACCGCCCCCCGCCGCCAGCTGCCGCGGCGATTGGGGCGGGGCGAACCCCTTTTGTAGCCAATGAGCTTTGGGCGTTGCTGACCGGTTAACCGCTCCGCCCTGTGATTGGCTCCCTGAGCGGCCCGCCCCCGCCCCACCGCGCCCGCTGATTGGTCCGGCTCCCTGGCTGCGGCAAACCTGTCAGGAGTGATGCAACGGCGGCGAGGGAGGCTTCCCGGCCCTGGCATGCGGCAAGGGCGCCCCGGATTGCGTCAGGCGGCGGGAGTGAGCGTGGGCACGGCCGTCCCCCAGGCGGCGTCCCCCCGGCGGCTCCCCACGGCCCGGGCCCTTCGTGAACCCCGGCGGGCGGGTCCCCAGAGGGTGTCTCCCCGCAGCCCTGCAGGTGCGCGTGGCCGAGCGCGGCACGGACTCCCCGGGCCGGACCGGGGCAGGGCACGGCCCCGAGGGGCGCTCTGGGCGGCATTCACGCCCGCCTCTGGGGCTCCGCCTGGGAGCTCGCACCCGGAGAAGCCGCCGGAGGCCCTTTCCGCATTCTGCGCTGGTGCTTCACGCCGTATGCCGTGTGAGCAAATGGAGAAACTGAGTCACGGGGCTGACCAGGGGCTCTGCAGGGGGTGACTCAGCCTGGCGCCCAAAGCCGGCGGCCTCACGTGAGGGCCACGCCTCCAGGAAGGAGTGGGGACCCCGGGTCCCACAGACTGGGGAAGAGCCAGGGTTCTGGCAACTGCCAAGGTCACTTGGGCATTGCTGGCCGGACCGCGGGAGGCCTGTCCTTCGCGGGAGAGTGCTGACCCGGCCTGGGCTGAGCCCTCTGGCAGGGGAAATGGGACTAGTTAGGGGCTCGACAAAAAATTGTCTGCACACTTAAAGTAATCATGCCAAAGATGTGTAGGATATTTTCTCCAGTAGGGATGTTGCACTATAGTGTGTATAGTATGAGGCTAGTTCTTTGAAAACCAAACAAGTTATACATTAATATAACTTGTAAAAAAAAAAAAAAAAACTGCAAGAATATACCTAAACTGTTAGTAGAGCTTGTCATCAGAGGAGGACTTTCAATATTAAATGTAAACATTTATGGAAAAGTTAGGATTTTTACAAGGAGCATGAATTAGTTATCCAGTTGGAAAAAATTAGACAAAGTGGTTTTTTTCTTTCCTTTCTCTTTCCCTCCATTCTTCATATTCACTCTCTCCTCTGCTCTCTATCCTGTCCCCTGGAAGGATCTGAATAGGCACAAACAACTCTTTGAAAAAGCAGCTTGGTGATACAAATCAAGAATCATAAAACGTCCCTGCCCTTTGACCCAATACTTCCACTCCAGGAAATTATTCAAAATAGGGGGAAAGCCATATGCCTGAAGATTTTTCAAAGCATTGTTATTAATTATAGCAAACACAAAAGAAGAAAACTACTTAAATATCTAAAAATAGCTAACTAAGTAAATTATGGTCAATTCACAAGTTAGAGAAATACACACACACACACACACACACACACACACACAACAAGTATCCAACAGTAGATTATTAGTTAAATAGATTTGATATAAATAAAAAGAAAATCTGTGCAGTCATTAGAAACCATTACCTAATATAACTCTGTAAATGTAAAAAGTCTGTATATGTTTCATTGCTTAGAAAGAAATCTGGAAGGACACATTAACATGGCCAATGATTATGTCTAAGCAGTAGGACTATGTGAGATTTGTACTTTATTATTATTATTTTTATTATTTTTTAATCTTTACTGTTGAAAGTGTTACATATGTCCCCTTTTCCCTCTTCTGTCCCCTCCAGCTATACTTTCTTTTTATACTAGTTCAGATTGTCTGGGATTTTTTAAAAAGAGAACAAAAGCCACTTCTATTTAGGAAAAAAAGTTAAAATTAAAAATCCATTATAAAAACAACATAATAACCCTATGATTGCATAGTAAGGCAAAAATGCAAAATATGACTATCACATGCACCATTATTAAAACTATTAAAACAACAAAAATAAGATGCGTGAGGAAAAAATGGGGCACCACGTGCTGCTGATGAATGTGTTGTGATATTGGGATTATGGGTGATTCTTTTTTCTACTTTCCAAGGCTTATGAAGTAGACTTTTTAATAATAAAAATGTTTCTTTGAAAGAAGTGAAGTTAGCCCCAGCCAGTTTGACTCAGTGGATGGAGTGTTGGCCCGAAGACTGAAGGGTCCAAGATTCAGTTCTGGTCAAGGGCATGCGCCTCGGTTTGGGCTTGTGTAGGAGGCAACCAGTCAATGTGTCTCCCACATTGATGTTTCTCTCTCTTTCTCTTTCCCTCGCTTTCACTCTTTCTAAAAAAAAATTCAATAGAAAAAATATCCTCGGTGAGGATTTTTAAAAAAAGAAGCATAATTAATGGTTTTCTGGAGCTAAGGGCAGATAGCATAGCAGAATTATCTGGGAAACATATTCAAGATGCCCATTCTGAGAACCCCTCCTACCAGGACCAAGGTCCAGGTTTTATTTTATTATTTTTTTAAGTATATTTTATTGATTTTTTACAGAGAGGAAGAGAGAGGGATAGAGAGTTAGAAACATCGATGAGAATCATCCATCAGCTGCCTCTTGCACACCCCCTACTGGGGATATGCCCGCAACCAAGGTACATGCCCTTGACCGGAATCGAACACAGGACCTTTCAGTCTGCAGACCGACACTCTGTCCATTGAGCCAAACCGGTTTCGGCAGGCCCAGGTTCTAATCACTCCTCTGGTGAGCTCCTACTCCAGGCGGAGTTGGCACTCCCTCCTGTGTTTCCACATCCCCTTACCTCACTTGTTTATATTTTTGTGCTCTCCGTTTCATACTTACAACAGAAATAATCCTTTATCTCAAGTTTACCTTGAACTAGACAGTTAGCTAAATGCTTTTTACATCTATTCTAATTACAAACTTCACTACTTTGTGAGATGAATATAATTTCACAGATGGGCATCCTGGGGCCCAGAAAAGTTGGGTAATCTGCTTGTGGTGACACAGCAAGTGGTGGAACCTGGGACTGAAGACAGGGGTCCAGCCCCAGAGCCCCCTTGCTGATAAGTATTTGACATTCTGCCTCCCAGGAACGTGAGCGCTCCCTTCGGGCAGACTTCATCTTTGAATCCCCAGGGGAATCAACCCAGTGCTGGCTCTTGGAAGATTTCCCACAAAAGTAGGTAGGAGGGAAGCTCTTACTTGGAAAAGGCCAGGGCACCCTGGTGTTTAGAAGAGGAGGAATCCTGTAAGACACAGATTCAACCTTGACCCTCTCAAAATAGGTCTAGGCCACCTTCCCAGGAACCCGTCTTGTTCCCATTCCTGGCTTATTCTTACCAACAACATCAGTTTCTTTTCCTCCGAGTGGGACACTCCACTCAGCTGGTTCCTCTTTAACATCAGCGGCAACCAATCCTTCTTTTCTCCCCAAACCCCTCAGGCAGGGGCTGCAGATGTCAAGCCCACGGAAGCTCCAGCTCATGAAAGATGATGAGAGAGCATCACCTTCATGTTGAAGAGTCACACACAATGTGCACGTGGTAGCTTCTTTTTTGGGCCTTTCCTGAATCAATCTTTCCTGATTGTTTCCCTTTAGGCAGTCATTTCTCATTCCCTTATGACCTCTTCCTTCTCATTTCTCATTCCAGTCACTGCAATCAACTCCTGGTGTTATCTGAAACAAAGGAAGGGTGTGTGTTAGGAGCTAGGGGATTATGTTAATTTATGCTAAATAGTAAAATTGCTTCATAAAGCTGCTGATTCCAGGAGGGTGAAAAAGCTCTCAGCCCAGCTGCTCAGATTTTTAAAAAAAATATTTTTATTGATTTCAGAGAAGGAGAGAGAGATAGAAACATCAATGATGAGAGAGAATGATGGATCGTCTGCCTCCTGCATGCTCCCAACTGAGGATCAAGCCTGCAACCCAGGCATGCCCCCTCCCACCCCCCCGACCCAGGATCGAACCTGGGACCTGCTCTATCCACTGAGTAAAACCAGCCAGGGCCACCTTACCCAGATTTGAGCCTTCCTCCACCATTTACTATCTGATGACCCCTGGAACAGTCCGAGGTTCTCAACTGTGAAATGGGGAATAACAGTACCTACCTTGTAGGTTCTGATGAGGTTTGAAAGAACAACTACCGTATTTTTCGGACCATAAGACGCTCCGGACCATAAGACGCACCAGTTTTTAGAGAAGGGAAATGAAGAAAAAAAGATTCTGAAACAAATAGTGTCCTAAAGTATTTTATGTGCATTAAAACCCAACATCACAGTCATAAACACATGTAATCAACCCTGTAAACTGTAGGGGTGTCGAACTCAATCAGAGAAGGGGCCAAAATCTAAAATCCAGCCTAAATCGCGGGCCAAATGGTTTACTGAACAGTCATAAACTGTCATTGTGATGGAAACGCAGCGGAGTGCAGTGATGACAGCGCGGTGCGGGCCACATTGCAAGGCCTGGTGGGACGAATTTGGCCCGCGGGCCTTGTGTTTGACACATGTGCTGTAAAGTAAACAGCAGCATTTAGAACCATTTTAGAGCCGGGCAAGCACACAGAGACCACACAGAGCCGGGCAAGTAAAAAAACTTTTTTTTTAAAGTATATGTGTAGGCTATATTTGGACCATAAGACGCAGGGACTTTTCCCCCCCACTTCTGGGGGGGGAAAAAGTGCATCTTATGGTCCGAAAAATACGGTACTTAACTGTCACCTGCTGTATGGGAGCACTCAATACATGCTGGCTCCTTATTATTTTTATTTTAGCCTTCTCACTTTCCATTTTATTCAGAGCAGAGCCACATATCAGAAACCACCCAGCCAGCAGCTTAATGTGTCCATTGCTATAAGGAAGGGTGAAATTCTCAGAAGAGTTCATGTTGCAGTTATTAGATCCTTAAAGACAATAACTAGAGCACCCAGTACAAGTCAGACATTCCCCACAGGAAGCCACTGCAGCAACCTTTAGAGAAAACACCCGTGCATGCTTTCCCCAGACCGTGGGTCCCAACACATGAAGGTTCCAGAGTGTGACTTTCTTCCCAAAATGAATGGAACAATTCTATATGTTAGCAGTAGGTGTCCCAACTCCTACGAGGCAAGATGTAAAAGTTCCCCCTACACGGGTACCTCCAATGCTGGCTTCGGAGCAGTCGGAGTGGTGAGAAGCCCATCTCAAGGTCATGTCCATGTCTCCTCCAGTTGGCCGGCCTCCGGTCCTTACTTTGCTCGTGTCTGTCTGACTCCTACCACATCCCTCCGCAAGTGTCTTGGCTCTGAGTGCCGG